TAATTACCAGGCGAGTTAAATAAATTAGCTTTGAATGTCTTACTTGCAGGACGAACTTTCTATAATTTTAAACAATGAACCATGTGAAGAAGTAGTGAAAAAACTTCAAGTTTATTTATAATAATAAAAAATGTTTTTGCTGAGGTTTTTTCTTAAATCTCTGTAATTTTTATCCCTATCAACAGCGTAATCAAAAGAATTTGAAACTTACTTTTATTTTTAGTGAACTAAATAAATATTACTGCAGACATCGTGGATATTCAAATTCTAACTTGCTTGTGGGATTTGCTGGTGCTAACTTAGCATGTGAATATCCCCCATTATCTTTTATTGCTACAAAGTTATTTTTTAGTGAATAAAATTCAACGCGATAAACTGCACGTAATTGCAAATTGCGATAAGCGCGCGCGTTGAAGGTAATCAATACACTTTGTCAGACAACAAACCGCGAATCACACAATAAAGAAATAAAAGTGGCTGCGCACTTTACTTCTGGAGGAAACAACCCTGAACGAGTGACTCTCACCTTTCAATGTCAACGACACCGCAATTAACAGACTGCGCGCGCCTTTGCATAAGGTGGCGTCACCAAATAGCTCGCACAAATTGACGTGTAATCCCAATTAGCGACAGATGGCAATCCTTTTGTTCGTAATCGCAAAGTGGAATCCATCCACTGCCGAGTCAAGGAGATTATGTCATTACGTTTTTTCAAATTGAGTATTTTTCGACCTCCAACTCTCGAGATCAAAGATCCACACGCGCTTCGTTTTGCAGTACGCCCGTTTTTATTGCTCGGATTATGCAGTCGTAAAGCAAAATCACGATTGTCTGCCAGCCAGTTGCTGATTATTCTTTCAAATTTAATTGGTGCATTATGGTAATCACTACTTTACAACAAGTACGCCAATGCAAAAGCCATAAATAATTTGCAAACTGCGTGCCGGTTAATTGTGGTTTTCCTTTCGTGTTTTCAGAAGTGAATGTTGCACTGCTCCAGATTGATTTTTTCTGCTTTAGATTAGACGTGGTTAAAATTTGATTACAATCATTTATTTTACCCCCAACAGCGTAAAAAAATGTTCTGAAGGTTAATATGTTTGAATGAATTTCAATCTCAAAAACAAATTAGTTGTGTATTACGAGTTGTGTTCATTGAACACGGTTAATACCCTGATCTATAATTAAAAACTAAATGAGAATATAATTGAACAATATTATGATGTTAAATAATTATATCTGAGAAACTTAATGTAAGGAGGCTTGATTAAAATTGTTACTGGCAAATTTATAGATTGATTACTAATTTAATCCAATGAACACTGCGTAAATACAAATTCGTCTGCTTTGTAAAAAGACAAATTAACGTTCAGACGAAAGACGCATCTATTTTTCTTCAGATCATTTCAATAAATCTATCCATAAATTGTTATTTTTTGTGTTGAAATTATTTTCAATTAATTGATATTAATCAAATTTAGCAATTATTAAAAAATTTTAACTACCTTTAAAAAAACACATTTGTTTTTGGAAAAAGTTTTAAAAGCATTAAATTAAAATTACACATTAAGATTCTCAGTTACTGAATGTATAGATTTAAAAACAAATTGCATTAAAAAATTAAATTCGTGCATGAACTTGCTGAAAAAAATAAATAATAATATAAAACTAAACTTACCCTACAAGGCGACCTGCTCGTACTTTAAGAACCTAGGTTTTTAGGGGTCCTTATTATGGGGGAGGGAGGAATTTTTTGAAAATGAAATTGGAAATTAAAAAAGGTCATATATGCTGCAAAAATTTTTAGAAGTAAATTTGCTGACTTTAATTATTAAAAAACATTGAAAATCAAAACCTTTTCTAACAAATTTAACTCAAAATGTAACAACAACAAGTTTATTCAAATTAGGAGATTCAATCACTCAGTGGTTTGGGATCAATTAATCACATCAGTTCTAATTTTATAAAAAAAAAAAAATGGTGTATTCAAACAATCTCTGAAGTTATAAAATGTTTTGACAAATATCAATGCCTCTTATGGAAAAATAGCAACCAGTATTTTCGTTTCCTTCAAAAAGGAAAGACTGACAATGAGAGGTGCTAATTGAGAGTAAAAAGTGCTAGGCAGAGAAAGGAATGCCACCGCGAGCATACACAAAAAAGTGTTCCCTTGGCAGAATCGCGGGCGACGAGGAAGTGGAAGCGAATCTGAGTCAGTCAGGTCGGTCGGGTGACTGTTTTCGGTGACCTCTGGGTGCGCGCGCGCGATCTGGATGGTCCTCTCAGGGAGGCGGATTGAGAGCCAATTGGTCGGCGGCGGCGGCTTTTGTTCTGGCAATGACCGTGTTTTCCAAGGCCCCGCTACCTGGACTCCCTCTGGCCGCGTATAAAGTCAGGTTCGAGCAGGCAGCGGCTTTATTGCAGGTGCAAATCGCGGACCTAACCCTTTAGGTAGGTGCATAGGCTAGAAGCGCTCGTTGGTCAGAGAGACTGCTCTGGTGTGTTAGTGCGATAGTACGTAAATTCCGATCTCTCTCGCGTGCGGCTGCGGATAAAAGTGTTGTTGTTGAAACTTGATCTTATTTTGCAAGCGACAAATCGTAAGTACACATCCACGTAGGAATTTGGATTTCGTAAAATGAATTAAAGAATTTGGTGATTTAGAGAAAATCATTTAAATTTTAATTTTACCTTTCAATTTTTTAAACTTGAAATTCTTAAAAAAAAAAATCAATATTTTTATTGAAGCAATTTAATTAATTCAATTTTTACAATTTTATAATTTAAATGTTTTTAAGATTCAATTGAATTGAGCTGATTAATTATTACATTTAAAACTATGCTTCAAATTCAAAATCTCCCAACACTTTTTTCCTATTTTTTCCAGCAAATCTTTACTCCCTTTTCGTCATGCAGTTGCAGTCTCATTGGTCCGTATTCGTTTTACGCAACGTTAATTGCTCTTATATCCTCAGCGATAAATCTTAATTCGCCTATTTAAGTCAGCCAGGGCGTGTGCTATTATACCCGAGTTGGGAAATTCGAGCTCATCCGAGTGGAACGAAAAGTGCCGAGAAACGCACGTTCTCAATGAAATAACAAACAATATAATAATAATTATTGATACACACTCGCACAAGTCCCGCGCATTAGTGAGTGTGTAATCGACTATTATGAAAAGCGGTTTTGTAAAGGTCGGTCTCGATCGTCGGCGGGACGGATGCCAGATTAGCTCACGACGAAATAAATTCGCAACCCGAGTTGGCCGCGCGACAGTACTTCTTCGCATATTGTAAAACAGTACTCTATTTGTCACCCCGTTTTGGAGCGAAAAAAGAAAGTGTCAGCTCATTAATATTGCACCTATTGATAAACATTGCATAAGACGTGTGTGAGTGGACTTTAAATAATAACTTTCCTTTTCGGTATTCGATATACTGCGATTCTCTTTTTGAAAGGATCCGAGCGTTTTCGGTTTGTTGTTTTTGGCGGTGAATTCAATTAGAGCGCGAGGAAGCAGACTCGCGAGTGCCATTGTGTGGTAATTGGTGAAAGAGGAAGCACTTCTTGCACCGAGAGTGACTCGCGTGTTTTGGTGGTGTGGAAAAAAGTTATTCCGAATTAATTGACTTGTAAAAAAGACGAATTTTTCTTATGCAATGATTAAAAACTGGGTCAGTCTTTGTGTATCTCATTGTTTTGAAAAATTTGTAAAAGGGAAAATCGAAGAGAATTTAATATTGTCAGAAATTTCATCATGGCCAAAAGTAGAAGAGATTTGTTATTCATAATTTGTTTATTAACCTTAGAAAAACATGGAATATTTTAATTATTTTTCTGTTATTGTTTATAATTACTGAAATTCTCCAAAGATTTCTACATTTTTTAAGAAATCTTCTCTTTTTTCGTAAATTTCAACCAATAACCCTGTATTAGAGTAATTACCGTCAATTATTCAAACTGCGAGCTGAGAAATCGCATCTTATTACACGCGTTTCTGCAGCGAGACGACTCATTCAGGATTCCCAGGCCTAATTACAATTATTCTTAATTCCGCGGAAAAAGTTGCTCAAAATCGCGAAACGCGTCATCACGGCTGGCGTCGCGACTTAACGAGCCGGATGACATAACACTCGCAGACACGCGCGAAAAAAAATAGAAGGAACCGGCAGGCGGAACTACTGTGGATTCGCAGAAGGTCGCGCGGATGAGATTTGATGGTTTTGGAAGATCGAGCACGCAGATCGTACGCGAATTGGGTCACGTTCACGACCTTGGGCGGTGGCAAGGCTGCCGCCGCCGAGTGGTCCGCGGTCCCCTCAGGCTCCGAGTAAGCTCGCTCTCTTTCAAGGGTATGATCTCGGAGCAATCGCGTCATTTAAAGACGATTCCGGGTTCAATTCACCCTCAAAGGACACTCGCTCCCTTTCACTTCCATGCACTGCCGGATTTAATTTTTATTAATAACTCAGGCTCATTGACCAAGGTTGAATAATTTGCCAAAAGCAAGTCATTACTTTTTTGCTTTTTACTTTAATTAACGTTAAAATAATATAATTATTTATGAAATTATTTCTAGTTTGTTAAATTAATTAATCGTAATTCTTAATTTTTACAAATTATTTCATTTTTATACTGAATTTTATAATGGAAACACTGTATATTTCCTCATAATATAGTATATTGTTCATTATTGAATTCTTAGTTAACATTTAATTTTTAAAACTTTGAAATTTTATGGCACTCTTGCTGTATCCAGAACTCAATTAAAAATTAAGTCTGAAAATAGTTTTGTCATTTGAATATTCTGGGCAATTTACAAATTGGAAATTGATATGGAGCAAATTTATGGCTATTTAATGTTCAATTAATCTTTGTCAATTCTGTGTACCTTTTTATAACGAAGTTACAACTTAAATCAAAATCAAATTTTAAATAATATAAAAAGTGTTCACAATTCACAATGAATTGGTCTAATTTGAAAAATTCTCTCTTTGCAGAAAATGAAACAGACCACGGTGCTGATGGTGCTGGCCGCCTTGGCCGCCGCCCACGCGCAAACCTTCTTCCAACCCAGCTTCCAGCCTGTGCAGTACTCGGGCCTTGTGCCGCCGCCGCTGCCCATTTCCCGCGCCATCGGAGGCTTCCCCGTGGCGCCCCAGCAACAAGTCCGACCCGCCCATCGCGCCGTCGTCGAGAACGCCGAACAGGAGTCGTTCCTGCCCGAGCAGTTCAAGAACCCCTTCTACAAGAACCCCAGGATCGCCCAGGCCCTGGCCAAGGAGAGCTGGAAGTTGAACGGAGAGGAGCAGGTGTTCCAGCGGGAGGCTGAGAAGATCCCCCGCCAGAAGGTCTACTCGATCCTCAAGCAGGCCGGCTTCATCTAAACAAAACACGACTGCCATCCGTTCTACGACTAACTGTTCATCTCGTGGGTGGTGTTTAGCCCCGCAGTGCCAAAAATGTGTGACAGGAGCACCCACGACGCACTGATTTTTTAATTCCAAGCAGAGTTTTAAAATTTTAATTATGATTTTTTTTATTTAAACTTTACTGAACTGGATTTTTTTAAATATCTCTCTGCTGCATGTTTTTACATTTGTCGAATCCAAAAATCACAATTGACGACTAATTGTAAGAAGCTGCATCAAAATATTGATTAATTTTTATTCACGAACGTTGATAATTTTATACAATTATTTATTTCTCCGCTGTTTGCACTCGCATCGGGGCCAGTGATACTTTTTTCGTCTGAAATTTTTATTCGAGGCCTTTATACGTTTCAACGCTAACAACGTACGGTTCTTTTATTTTTATCACTGAGAATAAAAAAAAATAATAATAATAATAAACATGAAACATGCAAACCCACTTCTTCCTTCTAGCAATGTAAATACATCGTTCTTTTTAAGCAAATGAGAATGTGTGCCCTGAGCGCGTGTATATAAATAAATGTAAATAAACTTCGTTTTTAGAGGAAAGTTGCAGTAGCTTTTTATTCCCGCAGTGTGTGACCCGAGTGTTCTCTTGATGAGATGTTTCAAGTATGCAGGATTATTTGGAGAGAGAAGAAGAAACCTGCCAAGCCAGTCCGTTGTCTCTCACGCTGGAGATGCAAGAGATTTGAATAAGTGGCTGTCAAAGGGTTTATTTTAAATTAGAGCTTTTACGTGCTGGAAAGGAATCAAAGTAATTAATAGAGTGAAATTGCTTTAAAATTGCATATAAATTGGATAGTTACTTTTTCTCAGAAGACCCGACAGCATTTTAGAAACAGAAAGTCGTGCGAAAGGGTCAAGATGTAGAATACTCTATCATGCAGGTGGGACAGTTTTCGCATGAAAAATGGCTTCTGCCCACAGCCTCCAACTGACGGTGGTTCGATTAATCAAAGAAAGCAAGGGAATTCCCTGACAGAGCACGTGAAGGTGTGTTCCAATGCTGCCCTACAAGTGCAAGAAGTGTCGCTGACCATATATAAGAGGTTTAACAGATTTAATCAAGAAAAATTATTGCATTATTGCTTTTCAACTTTTTTTATCATTTATAATTGCAACACAGAGAATCTGTAATTTCTCTTGAATACTTAAAATATAAGACAGATTTTTTTTAAAATAATTTTTAAAAATCTCCAAAAGAAGAATTATAATTAATAAAAACATGAAAATTAATTATTTAATTCAATCATTATGATATTGATTATCTTCATTAGTTTGATAAATTTATTAACAAGCAAAAATTTTCTGTTCACTTTTTTGCAAACTGATGCTCATCATGCAATAAATATACAATTTAGCGCCGCCTTTCACCGGGAATATTTATTATACACGCCGAGTGTGCGCTGTGTGTGTGTTTACTGCGAGTATTTGCATCTGCGAGCGCCGAGAGCACACATGCATGTACTTTCACATTTCATATTCAGCAAAACAGAAAACACTTTCACGGGTGATCAGCGCGCTAATCAATAATGACCAAGATCGACAAATTGCGCCGTCCATCATAATCTTCCGCGCTCTAAGAGCGTCGTCGCCCAACATTATACGAATCGGAGCACTGGAGTATTGAGAGAAGATCAATTATCATGATTGACGACCGAAAGTGAGAGAAACATAAAAAGTAATAGGTAATAGTAAGTTCAAAATTTATATAGAATTTGCGTTCTCATAAAATTTTCTAAATACATCGCTTAAAAAAAATCAATTTTTATTCCTCTAGATGATTTGGAGTTAATTCTACTGCATTTTTAATTAAAGAAAAATATAATTATTTTGTAAGTTCTGGAGGCGAGTTTATTTCGTCTCCTAAAAAGTATGCAACCGGCAAAGCAATCCTGTCCGCCAGGTTGCCTATCTACGTCTTTGAGCTATTTCTTGTTTGTTGAAATTGTCTGCAGAGCTCTTCAGTCATCGAGCACCAAGAAAGGTGAGCACCGAAACCACGCGACCTGACCGACAGAGGGCACCGCCGTGACGGAATGCGTAGGTCGCCTCGGGTCGGATTCAGGTCAGAGGGAAACGCATTCAGGTGGGCGTGCTTTCTTGCGGTCCAGCGGCACGACTCTCATTAAGGTCATAATTAATGGCCAATATACGTATGCAGCAGCAGCACGCGAAATAACTGGCTGGCGCGCTATGTAATTTGCCGCGTTTTCAAAAATTCATAACTCACCGAGCGCCGGGATGAGCTACCATATCATTTGATTGCGATTATGAAACGGCGCAGATTGAATACAGAGAGGCTGTTTGGGTTTTATGCACGTTTTCTTGATTCCAAAACACGCCCTAAACCGTTCTTAGAGGTCAACAAGTTTTTCTAAGTATATAGCTTGTTTTTAAGTATGTAATTATTAAACATAAATAGCTATGCTTAAGAATTATTTGTTTTAAAGGAAAAAAATATTTATTTTAAAAACATTTAGTAAAATTTATAATAATAATAATGCAGCCAATGATCAGATTCTATTGATAATAAGCTTTATTACTTCATTAAATTTTTTAGATTTTTATATTTAATAATAAATAAAAAGTTGATTTCTTTCACGAAAGACAAAACCTAGTTTGTTTTTCAGATTGAAATGCATCAATTTTGTTTTTTAATATTCCAAATATTCATTGCATGTTTTTTACTGTTGAAATTGCAAATTACTCACATATTAATATAATCAGATTTAAAAAATTTATTATTCCCTACCAAGATCAGTAGATTTGTAACTCGATATTATCACAATTACTAATGTTTTTCAGATGTATTGCAACGACCAATTATTGAAAACAATTGCATTGCAATTCTCAGCACAAACCGTTGCAATTAACACGCCCGTCCGAAGGCAAATTGTGGAAATATGATCGCATCTCACGCGTGTTGATAGCGAAATGGACAACGGTCTGCGGTCTCGGGTCACTGCATGCAGAAAATATATGACACCTTGGACAGAAGTAAAAACGCGGTTGAGATAATCGAGGATGGCAGCCTGCAATTTGAACATGAAGCTCCAATGCGAGCTATTGCGCGACTCAAGAAAGGCCACGTTACATACATGTGTATTTGCATAACTCGCAATTCACCGGTGCGCTTATCTGCTTTGAAAAATCGTCCGCCGTTCGGAATGTTTGGTTTGAAGAGTGCACAGGTCGCTCGATCGTGACTTATCCAATTGAGAAGAAGAAGAAGTTGGAGGTTTATTGTTTATTGAGCGAGTTTTGGGCTGGCGCGACCTTGGCGTGTACGTTCAATAATTTTGTGCACGTCGGCGCAGGTGGACCACCTAATTATTCCAGGTGAACCTCGCAGATTTTAATTAAGAAGATTTGCAAATTAGATCTTCAACATTTTCTTTTCTACTCAGAATTCTCTCTAATCTGCATGCAAACCAACTAGTTTCTTTTGCACTCTTGACACTACTTGCAATAATTGTACACAATTTCTTGAAATGAACGTAATTAAGAAAATTACTTTGAGAAAATATAATTTTTGAGTTATTCAATGTAGTGGAGCTCGAGAAGAGATCTTTTGCAACAATGAATTGGAATTTACGAAAACAAAAGAAACCCGCCGCAAATTATGTAATATTTTCAATAAAATATCCGTGTACTTTTAAGGCGCGTTAATCTCTTCGCCCGGGCGAATTAGCAGCACCAAAATGGAATTCGTGCATCATCAAGGTGCGATGTCAGAACAACAAAAAATAAATGTATATAAGTTGGCGATTTCCACTTACCGCATAATGTGTATGCTGATGATGGTGATGGAGTGTAATTGCTGCGATTCTCGCCGGCACAATAAAAAGGTCGCCCGCCAGATTTCACCTCGGATGCGCTTCAACAAAAAGCATGAGTACATTAAATTTTTGACTATTAAGGAATTAAAATCGTGATACTGTTCGTGAATTACAGCATAAATATCTAAGGAGACGCGCCGCCGAAAAGGCGAGAAAATTGAAAATGCTGTTGGTTAAATAAACACGGACGGCCCAAATTGGAGAGAAGATCTCGCTCTGTGCAAGTGAATTATATGTTAATGCACATCGCACACAATCATGTTTATAGCGTTGATGAAAATGCACGACGATGAATATGGTATTTTTTTGAAAAGCGTTGCCTCACAACGGCAGCCCGATTGGCCGTTATAAATCCATAGCGTATGCATCTCTTTTATTATGCAACCGTGTTGGCGAAGTCGTAAAGTAATCGACACGAAAAACAAACTAATCAAAGTAAAGCCCGAAAAGTGGCTCGCATTGAAAATATAAAATTTTCAATGAAAAGTCGTGTGGTAACGAGAAGAAGGAAGGAAAACTTTTGTCGTTTCCTTCTTCTCAACATTCCTGGTGTAATTAATTTTCACTTTCGCTTTCTGTGTGTGCAGAGCCGACACGCACGCGTCTTATAACACCTAAAATAAAGTTCACAGACCTTGACAATCACACTTTTTTGAAAGACGCGAGCCGCACACAAAGAAAGCCGTGAAAGCGGAATGTTTATAATTTTTGTTTGACATGTAGTTATACCGCACAGGGGACGGTAAAGATGAATGATGGAGTGTAACAACTGCAACTTATGTTAATTCAAAATCAAAGAATAAACAGAAAAGATCAAGAGAAAAGAGAAGAGTAAGTTATTACAAAGAAAAAGGCAAAACGGATTAGTTTATCTGGCGGCTAGGAAAAAATACAAATGGAAAAGAATAAAGAGACACCGTTATTAATTAATTTTTGAGATGAACTAAATGTAAAGTAATCCCTTTGTTATAAAATAGTAATTCATAAAATTCGAGATCAAAAGTAATGATTTCAGTTTACACATTTAAAATTTTATATTTATGTCAAGTGTGTCTCGTGAAGATTTATGGGGTTTAATTACTTTTTTGCCGACTAGATAGCAGAAAAGTTATTAAGTGAATATTAAATGAAAGTTTAAATTTTGATATTAAAAGCAATATTCATATAAAATCTTTTTTAACTCGCGTTAATTTTGTAGCATCATATGTTTTAAAATGTGGTTTTTGCATTATGTGTTATGTTCACTTCACTCTCTTGATGTTAGCAATGTCCAGACCACTTTAAATTTCATCTCATTCGTCAATAAGATTATTAAATCACAGAGATGGTCCATCACATAAGGAATACTCTTGAACTTTGCTTAAAAATAAGCAATTTTTAAAATTAATTGCTGAATATTTTACAATTAAATTGCATCAACGCATATAAATGTGTGCATAATCAAAGAATTCAGTTACAACAAGAGGATTATTTCAAACGAGATAAAACCTAGTTTCCCTTGCCGCGCGCACATAATGCATCATTACATTTTCGCAATGTCTCTCCTGCTGACGGCAAAAGATGAAATATGAGTTTTGCGCGGAGAACAACACAATTCGCATTTTTCCGCATTTGCCAGTTGTAAGGTAATAATTAACCATTAGCCGCATTATAATTAAAAGGCCATAAGTAGTACGTCTAATCATGCACGCGAGGCAAACGTAAATTAATGCAAAGCGTGACGCCATCGCCAGACCAGAAAAGTGCAAAAATTGACGCGCTATGTTATCTTCGAAAGCTCATCACCCGCGTTGATGCAGCACAAATTTTGCGGCTGCGAATTGCAGTTAACCTCCGCGGTCGACTCGCTTTTTATCTCGTATCAAACAGGATTATCTTTGGGTTAAGCAACACCCGCGGAGTGGATATTTTATTTTCTTTCTCTCTCATTAAAAGTGGAGATGAGCTGCTGGCGAGAGTGAATTATACCAAGTAGCGCCTCCAGGCCTCCAAATGCTCTAATGACCAAACCGTGTTTTGCTCTCATGACCAAGGTGAAAAAACGCGTTTGCGTGCGAATATTCAACCAATATGCTATTAAAAAAATGTGGATGAGATTATTGCACATTTTTTGCTACACCATATCCACCAGTGTTAGCAATGACCTTACGTTAAATTGGCACAATTTTTATCTCATTTGTTGTTGAAAAAGTTTCTAGAAGCTTGAAGATCAGCAAAAAGGTTGACTGGCGAAAATCTCTTTATTTAAAATTTATGAGGCTTTTTAGGCTCACATTTTAATAAAAAAAAGACTAGGTCAAGTGATTATTATACAAACCAGATGCAAACAGCTATATTTTTGAGCAGGCAGTTGGTTCTAATTAAAAATTAATAAGAATTTAAATATAATCCCAACGTAAAAAGAAAATAAACACAATGAGAAAATTATCTTAGTTTGGTTTAAATTAATTTCGTCATTAAAAAAACAACCTGCATATTTATATGAATGAAATTACAGTTTGAGCCTTTTAACGAGCTTTTGAATTTTGTTTTAAGTTGGTTGGTATTCGCAGCACTCGCCGGTGAAGTGGTCCTTAAAGAATTGCAATGACCGCCGTCGCATTGCGTTAAACCGCTATTACACAAAAACTATGCAATTGCCCCAAAGGTATATCCCTCACTCAACTACTCAGGTACAATTGAGTTAAAAATCTCCACTTCTGCATGTATAATACGTGCATGCCATGTTAATTGCCCTCAACAATGAGGGAACAAAATTATTCCCATTTCAAAAGCGTCTTTTATTTTGAAATTACTTTGATGTACTTTCACCTCGACCACTTTAAACGGCCTCTTTGCATTCTTCTTTTGCAAATTGATTTTCAATTATTTTCATCGGGGTATAATAAAAATAAAAATGCTTCATTACTGTCTTGGCTCGCGCTATGGATTGTTCGAAGAATAACCGAGAGTAATAGGAAACGAGACGATCCGTGTCTGCGTGTGCGAGAAAATTACACAGCTAGTTAAAAACCGCCATGAACCTTTAACTGAAATAATTATGGTTGCAATTTTTTGCAATTTAATCTCCATCAACGTTATAAAGTCTGTAATTTGATGAGATAATTTATAATTTGCATTCGGTAATTTGATATTCTATTGAAGGCATAATTACTATAAATGAAGAAAAGAATAATTATAAAAATTTAATTTCTTTACTTCATTTTTCATATTATTCTTTCAATTTCATTATTTCCTGGCGAAGGTTCTTTTATTTTAATTTCAATAACGCCCAAATCTGACAAAAGTAACAAAATTATATTAAAGTAGATCAATCATTTTTTAAAATAGGAAAATTTTCTACTCTTCTAAGCTTACTCGTGTAATTGAATAAATATAGTACTAACTTTTTTGAGTTTTTTAAAATTAAGAATTTATAAATAAAAATCTGATTTCTCTTGCGAAAAATTAAACCAAGCGAGTTTCGCCATGACTGCAACTCAATGTGCACTTTTGCCAAATGAGTAATTTTTTTAAGATCTTTCGAAACGACCGACGAAAAGTAAATGCCAACAAAAATCTATCGGGTGCTGAAAAACATGATAATAAAATTTTACTGCCTCAAATTTGAACAAATTTATTGTTCACCGCGAGCACCGACAAAACAAGCTCACGATGATGTTGTTTCTCGTGCTGCTCACACTTTGACATTCAAGCGCAGTCAGTCATTACAGATCTGAATCAGAAGAGTGAGAGAGAGAAGCAAAGTTCAAGCTTAATAATGCAAACGAAATAATTTCAACAAATGCACCAACTGCTGCAACCCTGACTGTATCATTATCATACAAATAGGTCTTTTTTGGTTATGCAACCGAATCAATAAGTGGGCAGAAGATCAATATGATTTTGACTGACGCTGTCTGTGCGAGTGAAATTGTTTTCTCTGCGCAGTAAATCAAAAAGTGCGAGGGTTTGGAGCGAATCCCAAAGCGGTCTAATAACTGACATTATAGTTTTCCAGCGCGCAAAATTTAATTACAAAGACTGTCGGAGAGAAATTACGAAGTAGCGCTTATCTCAAAAAGCATCAATTAATTGTAGTTCTCGAGCTTCTGTATATTATTATTGCCGTTGAATAAACCGCATTTTCAAGTAGACTGGCTGAGATTATTTGTTAAATTGCTTAACGTTCATATTATATTCTTGTGTTCACGGCTGACGAGGTTATTTATAGATTGAATTTGTTTTAATTGAATGAGACGTCCTATATTTGTACATTCAAGATTCACACTGCCTGTGCGGTTTTGTATTAGAATTCTCCAGCCGGTTTATGTGAACGCGCTTGAATAATGATTTTATCAAGAGTGTGTATTACCAAAGAAGCAATAAAATGATTTACCTTAAATGGATGCAACATTTCCGTCGAATAAAGGAGATTTGATATTAATACGCATGGCACACCGTCTTTCTTTCAAGAACGAAAGAGAGAGAAAAGTTAATCTTCAAGCAGCCTTATTTTTTTTTTATTTTTTTTTTTTATATACTTTTTTTATATAAAACTTAGCAGAAAAAAATAGCTAAATCAATCCACTTTTACAAATATGATTCACTTAAAGGGACTAAAGACTGACTGCGCCACTTTTAATTCAGCACACAAAAAATAATTATTTGCAAATCAGAAAATTAAAATATTTATCTATTAAAATTTTAGTTTCTTTGAAATTGAATTAATTTTAACAAAGAAAATAAGACAAAATTATAAAACAAGAAACTGGTCCAGATTTAGAGCAGTTTTTGGTAAATGGTCTGTGGATTTTTTTAATTTCATGTCAAAATTTGTAAAATTTATTGCAATGCCACAGTTGATTCATTAGAAAAAAAACCTTTTTTTAACCATTTAAAAAAGATAATTAAGAATAAATCAAAAGTTCCAACTTTGGTCTAACTAAATCTAACATATCCTTGATTATAAAAATGCTTCCATTTAGAGAATCATTAGCTATTGATGTTTCTATTTCACAATGACGATTGACGATAATTAGGCATTCATATTTTTTTTTATACTAAAGAGAAAAGCAAAACAGCATCTATCACCATTATTGGCCCAAATGTTGTGCAATGTTGTCCATAATTTAGGGACTCGATAAAAGATTGACCGCATCAAATAATGCTAAACCGTCTATCGATGCATCATCATAGATCATCGCTGAGAGATTAATTAATCGCATTTGACCCTGCACGATCTGCAGCAACAAGGGAGGTGAAAGAAGAAGCATCTCATAGAATGTACTAAATAGGATGCGCTGAAAGGACTAGTCGTGTTTTTGAGCACAAAAGCCTCTCGGTTACCAATTTCGAAACTGAGGCGAACAATGGCGCACGATGGATGGGCAGCGAGCAAGGATGCGCAAAGGTCGCCTCTCTCACACTTATTTCGCGCGCGGCCACTGACGTAATTCGCGATTAATTAGAATCCAACCATGATTAGTCGCGATTCCGTCACTCGCAAAAGGGTTCGGCTCCTTTCAACCGACGAGACGAGAATCCACTTGAAAAAATTGCCGAGCGCACAACAATCGTAATAAAATGAAACGGTGTCAGATAGAGGCACCTGATTGTGATTTTGACCTCACACTTTTCTCACCTGCACCAAGGTGCGCGCAAAATGTATTATTGTGTGGAATTTTATTAAGGAGCGCACATATGCTTGGGAGGCCAATTTTGATGATTCTCTCGGCGTGTGTCACCTAACCTTTGCGACGGCCCATTATAAAAGAATTAAGCGCGCTTATGTCACTCGGTGGGTGCAGGCGCGCTCTTCCTATTAATGCAATTTCCACCTGAGATTTAAATAATGCATAGTCTATGTTTCTTTTTTTGTTCATATAAGACCTCAAAGAATGTTTTTATTACTATGTACCAGTTTCTTTACGTAGGAGCATAACCACATACCTCTCCATTTTAATTTTATAATGCATTATGATCGGGGAAAAAAATTAGTCTGGATTTATTCAAGAATAATTAGCGTCCTTGATCCTCATTGTCAGAGGTCGTATTAAAAAAATTAATATGCAATATCATTAGAAATGATAACTGTTTGAATTAGATTCGTTCGTAAAAGAAGCAAAATAAATTTTTTTTAATAACAAAAAAAGTGGAACTTAAATTATTTAATTTTTACAGATTGTATAATTTCAGGTTTTTGTCAGTGGCGCCGACAGATAATTTATTTCATTGTGGATGTTTTTATTTATTTTTTTCCAATCGTTATTAAATAAGTTTAATATTTGCTGTTCAGTAATTTGTGCGTGAAAAATAAAATTTCCTGTCCATCCTTAGGACATGTTGTAACAAAGAAAAATTAAAAGTCAGTACTGCCGAACCTGCCCATAATAGTATATAATTATTTCTTTCAAATTGTATGCTGGCATTGCACTCCTTGAAAATTGTATTCTCATTTCTCATTAGCAATAATTATGATGTACTTACATATGTCGGCATGTTGTTTTAAATCCTAGCTGTTTTCCTTTTTTCTTTATTTTTAAGAAACTTTTAGATCCATCGCGGGGACCGAGCCAAAAGGAGCGCAAAAACTATTTCAAATAACAAATTCAAACTGTTTGTCTTTCCTTCCGATTTCTCCAGCGCGATCGACATCGACCTGCGCTGTGGACGCAGTCCAAGAAGGCAAGAACAGGTTTTATCATGTTAACTTTACTATTACATACATGTCCCATTCTGTTCAAAATTACAAAAACTAAAATCACCCATCACCCCTCTCTAATATTTATGGTTATGTCGATATAACAAATTCCACTCACTCTTCAAGTACATATAATAGTGTTGGTGCTGGACGGCAAATTATATCATGCGGAATTCGGTTTATACACTCCCAATGTGAATTGCACAGTTTTTGGTAAATTCCCCACTTTTTGACGCATCACCACTTACGCCTCATAATTTTCTCTCTCGCCTTCTCCAACTTCTTTCTTTCTCACTATGTTTGTAGTGTTTGTGACAGAATGGCGTCGATAATGTCGATATCCCTGTGCGTGTGTGTATTTCATAGCTTTTCGCTCATCAAAATATGTATTAAAATATTAAATATTTCTTTTCAGTTTCTTCTGACTAAGTTGCCATAAATTTAACTCGCCAATTTCTACGATTTTTGCTGCTAAAACGTCACAGTTTATTTTTGATCAAGAAGAAGCAAGAAAAACGACAAACAGCCATGAATTGGTAGGCTGAAAAGAATGTTCTTCACATCCCTTATATCTAAGTACAGTGATAGAAATAAAATTAATGACAAGAGATTTTTGTTATTAAATTAATATTAGATAAAATTAAAAGTTTAAGATAATCGGTTTCCATTATTAATATGGCTTAAATAATTAAATTACCACATTTTTATTCAGGGGTGGCGCAGCAGACGTTTCTGAAGAGCTTGACGAAATTGTCCTCAAGCGTGAAATGAGCCAGTTCATCCTGGTGCAGCTGGACCCTGCAGAACTTCGAACAATTGGCAACAAGTTCTACAGCAACGGCGACTACTGGAACGCAATCTCTGCGTACACCAAGAGTTTGGCCCGAGCACCTGCCAGCAGCGAACTGCGCGGCCTGGCCTACGCCAACAGGAGCGCCGTCCTGCTCGCCCTGGGCTATTATGAAGAGTGCATCAGCGACGCTAAAATCGCCCTGGAGAACAACTACCCTGAGAATTTGGCCCACAAACTGCACACAAGGATGGCTGTAGCGTACAAAGCTTTAGGGATGGAAGTTGAGGCTGAGGAGAAATTGCAGATTGCTGTGAAGTGGGTTGAAGCACTTGGAGCGAAACCTAGTGTGGAAGAAGCGGCCATCAAAGAAATTGTTGACCAACTGAAAGACCAACGCACACCTAAATTGCCTTCAATTAGAGTGAAATACAATGAGCCTCCACAGCAAAGCTATGGCGCAAATCCTGAGGATCCTAAATTGTCTGCTGCTCTCACTGTTTCTGCAGATGGAAAAACTATTAAAGCCAACAGAGACATCAAACTTGGTAAATAATTTTTTTGCTTGCTATATGATGTAATTTGGGATTTTGTAATTATACAGGTGATGTGCTCCTTGTTGAAGAACCATTGCTCTATGAGCCAACTTGTGTGGTCAAAGAGGGTGAAGCCTGCTGGATTTACTGCAGTGAATGCTTCAAAATGTGCCTTAATCTTCAACCCTGCCCATATTGTTCCTGGGTATGGTGTTAATTGTTAACTCAGAAACGTTTCCTCTTCTTTTAAATTAATATTTAATAATGTCAATTTTTAACTTTTTCCTCGAGTAAAAGCTAAGCAAAGTTGATGCATTATAATAAATTAAATTTTTTGTTACGTTTTTTCAAACAGGCATGCAGGTATTTTCAAAGACCTTAATTCAATTTAAAAGTAAAATATATTCTTATTACTTGTCTCTTTAGAATTTGAAATATATTTTTAAATAAAATTAATTTTATCGGCTGAAATTTTTCATATGAATATAATTGAAGATTTGAACTTTTGGATGTTATTCGATCTTGATCATTTTTCAGGCCTGTTACTGCAGTGATGAATGCGCCTCCACAGCTTGGGAAAAGTTTCACAAGAATGAATGCTTTCCCAAACAGAAGACCCTGGAGGCAATGATAAAGAATAATGACAACACAGTCCCTGTCTCCTTCCGCAGCATCAATTTGGTCTGCAAACTAATCTCTGTTCTTGGCCTGGAAAACTGCATTAATGCTGCTGCAGATGACAAGATGCTGGCTTGTGCTCCAGAGCAAATCAAAAGTATTTTTAATATGGACCTATTTCAATTAAGTCCAAATGTCGTCAGCAATTCTGACATGAAAGCAATTGAAGTGGTGCTAGATGCCTTCGAAGTCGCTGGCGACTCTAAGGACAAACTGCTTTGCTTTTTGGTCAAAATTCTGAGAATTGTTCTCGGAAATATGAAAGATAATTTCACCGCCAAAGGCTTGCACATTGACGGACAGTTCCTCTTTGGGCAGTACGATATTGGCATGGGCGTTTATCCTAGGGTTGCCACCATTAATGGAAGCTGCGAACCCAATACCCACTGCTGCTTCTACCAGAAAACTCTGGTCCTTCATGCAGCTAGGCCCATCAAGGAAGGAGAGGAAATTTTCCAATTCATGGGCCTGAACTACTTTAACCATAATCTCCAGGAGAGGCGCGAATTCTGGCAAATTTTTACCCACGAATGCCACTGTGACGCCTGTACCGGAGACTGGCCCTTGGTCAAGGATTTGGTCCCCTGTCACAAGTTTGTCTCTGAAAATCCACTCTACGAACCACTGAGGAAGCAGTTTGAGGCGCACTGCTCCGAAGGAATGATGACACAACTGTCGGAGCTCACTCCAGAGAACTTCCTGTTGTGCAGCAAGATTCAGGAGCTTTATGGAAATAAAAGAAGAGATGATCTGCAATACAAGCTAACAAGTGACTTTGTTAGGAATTACCTCTCTTCTCTCACGAAGAAATTTGAGGTCACCTTTAATGAACGTTCCAAGGAAAATCTTGATCACTACATTCCTGCAACTGGTATCAGGCTAGCCTACATGATTTTGCTCAGCAGATAGATTTTCTCAAAATATTTTCCAACTAGAATTATATAACTATACTGTTGAAAATAATGGATTATTTTCCATTATATTGATTTAGATTTTCCAGGCTACCTTTTGTAATAGGAAAATGTTTAAATTCTAGAACAAGCGAAAATAAAAATTGAACTGAATATAATATCTGAGAATAGTTTGTCTCTCCTAGCTCTGAGAATGCACCAATTACCATTTCATTTTATCTTCAGAATTTTATTATAAGCCCTATACCAATTTACTGAATTAATTGAATGTTTCTTTGTTGTAATATCGTAATAATATACATAATAAATTACATAAAAAGATGAGAATTTTACAATTCAGTGGAAAAATATTAATTCACCAAGTGTCCCAAGATGTGTCCATTGCAATATGCTGGCCGCTCGCGCGCTTTTGTCTGTGTTACTCCCATGTTATACTCTTATGGCACGTCGATCAAAAGCGAGAGACGAAAGCGATATTTTGCAGGCTAGCTACCTATATAGTTATTAACAAAGAGACGACTAAGTAAAAAAATTTTGAGAAAATAACCCTCAAGATATGGGAAATTTAAAAAAGAAAAATTAGGAGCATAATCTTTACTTGAAATTTTTATTTGCTTACAGTACTACACCGATTATAACTTATTTACTTCATAAAAAATTGAAATGAAAATAAAGTATTATAATTACGAAAAGTAAGTAGCACCGTACACTTATATCTTGTCTTGATTGATATATATAAGAATACAAAATACATATTCATCTACAAAGTTATCTCGCTACATCAGCAGTCTAACACCAGTGGCAGAAACATAGTGGTGCAGGCCTTGAGAGAGATGCTCGACATCATCTGAATCAATGTGAAACTTTTTGGTCAAGCTGGCAAAGTACACTTCAAGGAAGTCGATTGTCCTGTTGAACTGCTTATCATCCCTCCTTTGATTTTCATACAACGCCTGAATTTCGGCACTAAGCTCAAAATTTTCTGCAGTCATCACCTCAAAGGGAAAGCCAACTTCACTGAAATCCTCTACCTCATCTTGCCACTGCCGCCTGAGAGATTCGTAGTCAGGGTTGTTGGAAACAAAATCATGGCATGGGACCAAATCCTCTCGCATGGGCCAGTTTCCGACACATGCATCACATTTGCATTCATGATTGAACATTTCTTACGCCTTTCCTCGAGATCATCGTAGCAGTAATCAATGCCCTTCGATTGAAAAATTTCCTCTCCCTCCTTGATGGGTCTTGAAGCCTGGAGCACTAAGGTCTTCTGATAGAAGCTGGGTCGGACGTTTGGCTCACAGCTTCCATTAATAACTGCAGCTTTCATGTAGAGGCCGACGCCAATCTGGTACTGTCCAATGAAGAAAAAGTCAGCAATGCGCGACAGCTTAGCACTGTGGATGGGTCGCCAATTGGATAGCATGAAATACAAGGCATCTTTAAAGAAATTGATCAAGGCCTCTTTTCTTTCTCCAGTTAGTCCAAGACTGTCCGCAATTAATTCCATGGAAATTTTGTCTCCAGCGCTGACGCAAGTGGGACAACCAAGTGATGAAGTTTTTAGTTCCAAGAAGCTTTCAATTTCTTCAGTTATGTCATCTGAAAGTGCTCCATCCTTGTCAAGGGCATTAATGCAGTTTTCAAGACCAAAGACGGCAATCACTTTGAACAAGAAATCGACGCTCCGGAAATTGATTGGGATTTTGCCATCATTTTTTTTTTATCAAAGTTTCCAGGACCTTTTGCTTCGCAGAACACTCGTTCTTGTGGAACTTCTCCCAGGCTCTGGAGGCACATTCTTCACTACAGTAGCAAGCCTAAAACAGTAATGTAAATCATTATGCAAACACGCAGTGGGAATAAAAGGATATTTAAAATAATGTATGTAATAAATTTATACAAAATAATATATACAATAAAAGTATTTAATTTTCTATCTAAAATTCTCACCCAGGAGCATGTTGAGCATGGCTTCAAATTCACACACAGTTTCAAGCATTCACTGCAGTAAATCCAAGCTGCTTCACCTTCACTAACAACACAGGTTGTTTCATAAATTACAGGCTCCTCAACAAGAATGACATCACCTGCAAGTAAAAATAATAATGTATTATTATGTTTATTATTGAAGTATACTTTTGAATAATAATAAAATTAACCCCATCAAAGTTAAGAAAAAATTACTAACCAACATTAATATTTCTATTGGCTTTGAAAGTATGAGTGAGGAATCCATCTGAGGCAGTAACAGCAGCCGAGAGCCGAGGATCCTCAGGGTTCGGCCCATAGCTCAGTTGAGGGGGTTCAGCGTACTTGACTAGCATGTGAGGAACTTGAGGCACGTGGTCCTCTTCCAGTTCATCGCGGAGGCTTTTGATGACTGCCTCCTCCACCTCAGGTCTCATTTTCCGATCTTCGATCAGCTTCAATGCAACCTCCAAGCTCTCTTGAGCCTCGGCTTCTTTACCCAAGGCTTTGTAAGCAACTGCCATTCTCATGTGCAGTTTTTGAGCCAGATTCTCAGGGTAGTTGTTCTCCATGGCGATTTTAGCGTCCCTGATGCACTCTTCATAGTAGCCCAGGGTGAGCAGGACGGCGCTCCTGTTGGCGTAGGCCAGGCCGCGCAGTTCGCTGCCGGCCGGTGCTCGGGCCAAACTCTTGGTGTACGCAGAGATGGCATGCCAGTGGTCGTTGCTCCTGTAGAACTTGTTGCCCATCATCCTCAGCTCCTCCGGATCCAGTTGAACCAGGTGGTATTTCATCATGTCTTTTTGGAGGAGAATGCTATCAAATAAGGCTTCTAGCCCAGACATGTGAGCACCTTGATGTCTGAAATAGAATTCAACAAAAAAAAAAAATTAATTTTAACAACATGACTACAAATTTGACTTTGTATTAAATATGAATTATTATTCGGCATGTTATGTTTCGCAACTGTGACCATACCTTATCTCTTTGGCTGATTTTTTTTAAGGACGAAATATTACAATAAATGGGTCGGTCAGAATAGATCATTAATTATTACCTCAATCAATATAAAACAGTAATGCCACAATTATGAGTTATGACTTAATGATAATTTATACGAACTGCTATGCATTTAAAAAAGATTTTTATTGAATAACAAAGAATATTGTTTGATATCATATATGTATTATGCGAGTATGCTTACCCAAACATTTTGTTTGCTGCCTTAAATCTTGTTTATAAACGAGTATTTATGAAATTCTGTCAAAACTAATGGCCGGTCGTGCCTGTAAACTTTTCCCTTTCAAATTATGTATTTTGTACTTTTCCTCAAATAATGGGAGTGATATGAAACACTAAAAATTATGAGAGACTATAACATCAATTGGCCATGTGTAAATTGTGCGCGAAAATGAATCACACACAAATGACACAAATATCGGTCTTCGGTCAAATTCACATTCGTCACGTCTCAGCCTCAGCACTTTTCTTACTTCTCTTCACTACTCACAATTCACATTTCGCATCGCCATAGAAATACATATTTATTTCCACAAAAATCCCCACATTCCCCACCGCAAAATCGCACACGATCGCACAGGCGCAGTCGGCGCACGCAGCACAGACATACAGTACAGTACATATGTAATATATTATTATGTAATATAATAATATATATATATATATATATTCCTTGTTGTGTTGGCCACTTGGCAACAGCGCCCAAAAAAATCAAAAATGCAGAATGCAGAGTTGCAGCGATCCATGGCAAGCATACATAGGCCGGCCCGCACAGGAACACTCGTTCGCTGCCGTGCAATGACTTGTTGACCGTAGACGGCGTAGACACTACTAATTACTTTCCTTTCTCACAAGCAAACTCTCCGGATATATAAAAATTGATCTTAATGAAAATTGGCATGGAGGTAGGGTTGACCTTCAGGAACAACGTGTCGAAGTTCATTAGTCGCGATCTAGCATGGTTCGGCCTACAGAGCCGCCGAAAGTTGCCGATTTTTGCGTATGCAACCCGCTCCACGTCCCCACCGCCGCGCTCTCTTCTGCACGCTGCTGATAGAGCGGCAGGCGGAGAGGCGAGAGCAGCGCGAGAGGGGCTCTCTCGCACAATGCATAGCGAGTTTGAAATGAGACTTCTTCGCAAACGCAATATTTTTTTAGAACGCGTTAATTTAAAATATTCAAAATTTCAGCGTTGGTAGATAATTAAATCATGCATTTTTTGATATTCTCGTTTCAAATTTATTTTGACTAGGAGCGGAGTTATTAACGTTTCCGCGAGACTTTTGTTTTTTTAATTTTAAAATTAGAAAAAAAATTTTAAACATAAAAAACCTAATAGAAAAATGTTGCCAATTAAATTTCCTACAATTTCTGTTATAGGCGTGATGACGTCAGAATTGTGTATGCTTGTGTACGGAAGGCTCAAAGTCAAAATATAATTTTTTAATATTAAATAAAATTTTTGAGAATTTTTTGAAGATAGCCAATCGATTGGAAATTTAATTTTGTTCCTGGTTTCAAAATTTCATTTAAAAATAATTAGCTGTTTTCAAGCTGCAGCTTACTTTCTCATAAGCGCTCTCATGCTGCCTTCGTCTTCAAAAGCATGTTGAGGTGCCATCACATATTGCCTTCTCATTTTGAAACGGCTGAATATTTTTGAATGAAATTTTATTCAAAGGGTTAAAATTAAATTTCCAATCGATTGGCTATCTTCAAAAAATTCTCAAAAATTTTATTTAATATTAAAAAATTATATTTTGACTTTGAGCCTTCCGTACACAAGCATACACAATTCTGACGTCATCACGCCTATAACAGAAATTGTAGGAAATTTAATTGGCAACATTTTTCTATTAGGTTTTTTATGTTTAAAATTTATTTTCTAATTTTAAAATTAAAAAAACAAAAGTCTCGCGGAAACGTTAATAACTCCGCTCCTAGTCAAAATAAATTTGAAACGAAAATATCAAAAAATGCATGATTTAATTATCTACCAACGCTGAAATTTTGAATATTTTAAATTAACGCGTTCTAAAAAAATATTGCGTTTGCGAAGAAGTCTCATTTCAAACTCGCTATGCATTGTGCGAGAGAGCCCCTCTCGCGCTGCTCTCGCCTCTCCGCCTGCCGCTCTATCAGCAGCGTGCAGAAGAGAGCGCGGCGGTGGGGACGTGGAGCGGGTTGCATACGCAAAAATCGGCAACTTTCGGCGGCTCTGTAGGCCGAACCATGCTAGATCGCGACTAATGAACTTCGACACGTTGTTCCTGAAGGTCAACCCTACCTCCATGCCAATTTTCATTAAGATCAATTTTTATATATCCGGAGAGTTTGCTTGTCAGTCTTGAAAGTCTGGACTGAAGGCGTCGAGAGCAAAGTCTTAGCGTTACACGAAACTCAAACGACTCAAGAATCAATATTTATTATAGTTACATTGTAATTAACCTCTAGCAGACAGCAAAAATCAGTTAAAAATCTAAGTGTCGCTGTCGCAACAAAATGTGGTAAGGCTATAATGCAAAAATTTGTGTTCGAAATCATGGGGAATCACCTAAAACGCGAATTTAAATAATGATTATTTTCGTCTATGGATATCAATTTTTTGTCCTGGTATAAAAATGATCGGATAATTTTAATGTTTATGCAGCGTGTGTGTAAATTAAGGATATTTTTTCACAATTTATTCCCTTTATTTCGTATAATACAAAATATAGGGAATAAATTCTCTATATTAATTATTTGATACATGTTTGAAATTAACATAGTTTTAATTATTTTAACAAAGCAATGTATTATTTTCATCCATTTTTAGTTTGGCTTCAATTTTTTTAGGTCCTTATTCAATGATGCTCAACCAATGCCTGTTATTGACCCAGGATGGAATAATTTTGGAAAACCATCCTACTTCAACAACCCCGAGGATCTTAGAGAAATAGGCAACAAGTCATTCCGAAGTGGTGACTACAGGCGCGCAATCTCTGCGTACACCAAGAGTTTGGCCCGAGCACCGGCCGGCAGCGAATTGCGCGGCCTGGCCTACGCCAACAGGAGCGCCGTCCTGCTCACCCTGGGCTACTATGAAGAGTGCATCAGCGATGCCAAAATCGCCCTGGAGAACAACTACCCTGAGAATCTGGCTCAAAAACTGCAAATGAGAATGGCGGTTGCTTACAAGGCCTTGGGCAAAGAAGCCGAGGCCAAAGAGAGCTTGCAGGTTGCAGTGAAGCTGATCAAAGATCGCAAATTGAGACCTGAGGTGGAGGAAGCAGTCATTGAAAGCCTCCGCGATGAACTGGAAGATCGTCATCAGAAACCAACGGTGTCCAGGGTCAGAGTTGAATACGTCGAGCCACCCAAATTGCGCTGCGGCCCAAATCAAATAGACCTGAATGTTTCTGCAGCTCTGACTGTGAAGGACAAGGTCTTGATTGCCAACCGAAGGATCAATGTTGGTATAAGCAGAGTTTTTGTTTAGAAATAATTATAATCATTTTATATAATTAATGCGTCTGATTCATATATAAATCATTTAAATAAACTAAAATATTTTATTTTGTAGGAGACGTATTGATCGTTGAACAACCTGCAATTTTTGAACCCTGCATCTCTGATGATTCAGATCATCCCTTTTGGATCTATTGCTGGGAATGCATGAAGCTTTGCCTTAATTTGAAGCCTTGCTCAGCTTGCTCATGGGTAATAAATTGTAAAAATTAATTACTTACATGGCTGCCTAAAATATTAAATATTTAACAAAATATAATCTGTCTGCAGAAATATAATTTACTTATTATTATTATTTGTTATCGTCAACACAAGTGGCTGATATGTCTATTTTTTTGCTTTTAGGCATGTTACTGCAGTGATGAATGTGCCTCTGTGGCTTGGAATATTTACCACAAAAGCGAGTGTGCTGCTAAGAAGAAAATCATGGAAACTCTTGCCACAGATGATTCCCGACAAATCTTTGCCTTGAATTTCCTTTTTAAGGTTATTTCAACATTTGGCTTGGAGAATTGCATCAACGCTTATTTAAATTCAGTGGGAGAAATTTCTAATGAAACGCCCATGAATTTGCAGAAGTTCTTACTCCTAGAAAACTGTGACATGGCAGTTAGATTTGCAAGATTACCTTTTTGTATGGAAGCAATCAATTTGATGGCTGAGAGCTTGGGCACCAGCAGCGAAAGGAAATGGGCATTGTTCAGGTTTTTGGAGCGAGCGCTTCAGATAATCTTTGGAAACTGGCACATTGCTGAAGACTTGCGGCTCTTCCAGGCCGGAGATGATTTTTACTTTAGCTATGACAATATTGGTTGCATGGGTTTTGGAATCTACCACTCCGTCACTTCAATGAAATCCAGCTGTGATCCTAATGTCAGCTGCGCTCACTACCTGAAGACGATTGTTGTTAAAGCTGTGAGACCCATTGAAGCAGGAGAGGAAATTACCACCTTGAGAGGGATCCATTATTCAACTCAACCAGTTCAAATGAGACGTAACTGGAATTCCTTCAATCTGAGCAAACAATTTGTGTGCCATTGTCAAGCCTGCAATGAGAATTGGTCTCCTTCATTCAATCAGGTGCTTTGCCACAGTTTTGTTGCAAGAAATCCTGCCTACACAGCTAACATAGAGGGGCAGTTCAAATCTAAAATTATGATGACCATTTCCAACAAACCCATTGCCCCAATCTCTGTGTTCACTCCTGAAAACCTTGCCATTTGCATCAGTATCATGGAGTTGTATGGAAACAAAAGGAGAGATGATTTACAGTTCAACCATGCCATGAAATTTGCGAGGATGTATTTTGGATTTGTGACTAGAAAATTCTCGCTTAAGGCAGGTGTCGCCTCAAAGTTGCACCACTATGTACCCGTCAAAATCCGGGAGGAGCATCGTCAGTTTTTGTAATTGTGAAGCCTAATGGTTCAGTGTTTAGTTGCATTTCACGTATTATCATTTCGATTTAAATTCATTTCCAAAAATTATGCAAAACATGATTTCCAATAAAAGCCTGATTTGATGAATAAAATTATATAAATAAATTATTTTAGAGAGTTCATAATTTGAAAAATCTTACACTAAAAATTTGGCCCCACAATGGGTTATTTGATACTTTTTTCTTTTTACGATAATCTGCATCCTACTCAATATGTTTCGGCTGTGGGCTCATGTAGTCAAAATTCATGACACGACAGCTTTTTGAATTATTCAAACAGGAATATTTTCAACAATTGGTTACAAGATTTTTTAGATTATAAACTATTATAAATTTGTTTGCAAAAAATAAATATTTCTCTCAGTAACGATTCACTGACACAATTATTACCAAACAAAATTAATTATAGGCTGACAGAACTGTTAATTTTTTAAGAACCTTAAATCTAAAGAGATTTCTTTTTACACCATACTTATTAGTCAATAATTATGTTTGACGTTACTATTATTCATTCGGGGTTATACCACTAATTCGCGTGTTCTACAAATATTAATTTTTAACATCACAGCAGGTCTCGCAAAATATAGGCAGACTGCAGGAAGCCGAGTAAGCGCGGATATGCAACTGGGTCGGCGATCCGCGTTCGTGATTTTTATCGGACGTCTTTTGTGAATGCAAATGAGCTCGGCTGAACGCACCGCATAAATTCATAACCTCTATTATTTTTCATTGAATAGAGAATATTGCGAAGATGAGGTCCGCTCACATTGCATTGTCCAGGAAGTGCTACTGATTTTGTAAGCACTCAAATGCGGGGCAGCGCTTTACCGCTTCCGCGGAATTGACAATTAGGAAACTAATTGAGTTGTTGCACATCTGCTTATTTTGCGTGTAAACAGGACGTGCCGCCAAAGTAGGATAAAATTCTTACATAATGTCCTTTGCGCCGAGGGAAAGACACACTTTTTACAAATTCACTTGGATTGCTTAAGATATCTTTATTTATTTTATGGAATTGGAGGTAAAATTTATAGGTATACTGCTAATTAAAACAGACTAAATATATAATCACAATGTGATAAATTATATTTCCCAAACATCATTAAAAATTTAAAAGAATTAAAAAAAAATAATATTCACTTTTTATGAGGGCTTTATTAAATTGAATTTTTTTAAATAATTAATTGTACGCAAAACAACAAAGATGCTATGAATCTAAGTTAAATCAAATTTGTAGAAATTCAATGGTTTGAAAAAATTCATTACTTGTTGCGCGATACCAATGTCGCAAAAAGCGTTTTTAACCTAGAATAATCAACGTGTCGACCGTTTAAAAGCATATTATTCTCACTAAAACCAATTATCCTTTGAACAATCGCGTCCACGAGCAGCATAATAAGTCGCATAAAAAGCACCGCGGCGCCGTTAATCCTGTGTAATTACAGGCACATGTGCTCAATAAAACTCTCGGTGCTTTACTCCATTGTGTGAGCGCTCGTAAAAAAAGAGATAAATTTTCAGCACTCCACATTTAGTAAGTACCAGTGTATTTACACAAGCTTTATTGCCGCTCTTCCTTGTTGTCAGCGTCGGCGTGACTTACTCGCATTAAAAAGAAAATTAAAAATAAAATGCATTTCTCGGTGCGATACAAATAATACGAAACATACATTTAAAGCAAGCGTGTTCAAGAGGGAGAAAGAGAGGAAAATGAAAGATGCGCCTTTGTCTGCACTTTCACAGGTCACAGGGGTCGGCCACTTGAAAAGCGTCCCTATCCGAGTAGCGCTCCTGTTCGACGGCACGACTCTTTCGTAAAAATCAAAATGGCATAATCGATTTTATTGAGACTTCGCCTTGTGGCACTTTGGCAGGGGCAGCACTAACCAGTTATTTATAGCTGTAATCATTGAAATTATTTTAATTTGTGTACTTAATAAATACAAAAGTTTTCAAATATTAAAGAAAAAGGTAAAATAATTAAATTTTTATAAATCTTTAATGAAAATTCTTTGGCCCTTACAAGAGTTAAAAATTACAGTGTCATAAAACTAACGCCAGAGAAAAAATTAAATTTTAACAGTACATAAACTTGTAGTTGGGATAGGTCAGTTGTGGGACTAATTAAGCGTCTAAAGAATTAACAAGCTGCTCGTTAATTAAACAATTTTGAGGCGCAGAGGTCAAATTAATTAAAGTCGACAATAAAACCGACCATTAGGTTCGCGGCGGCGGCGGCGTCAATAAATGGCACGCCACTGCCGAGCGGCAATTCATCCTCGTAGCACAGAAGCTCAGTCGTGAAAGTCACTTTATCATCTAATGCAGCTAGTGTGCGAGACTTCATTCCAATGAAGACCTCAAATATAATGAGCTGAAGGTGTCTCGGATTATTGGATTCGCTTCATTGCCACTTCAAGGAAAACACGCGCGTATACCACAAAAGTTGTACAATAGAGTTTAAAAATTTCATTGCGGTCCTCCATTTTTCTTCGGCCTTTATATATTTTGGCAATCGCTTTTTTATCAGTTTGCACGATTTTCTGCACTTTTGTGCTAAAAGAGTCTTGCTGATTTTGCCTTAATTGCCTCGCACTCTCTGCCAAAAAAAATTCCCAGCCTTTCTTCTGGCAGGGAAGATGACCCGTTTGATAAGCTGGATGAACCATCTTCTCTGAATTCTCGCGTGTTTTATTTCTTTTAAAAGCTGTGGTTTTTATGTTCATTTTGTCAACATTCCTGCGCTTTTCATGACTGGAGCAGCGAGATGGCTATCCTATGTTGCACGGAGAAAGAGTGAATCGAGCTGAAAGATGATCAGCATGCAGGGACCGCACGAATCTCAAATTATGTGCATTTTGTCGGATGATAATATAATTAGGTTGCATAATCATCTAACAGCAATTTGGAGCTTTGACGTCACGGGCGATACGCTTTGGATCATGTTAATTGGGATTTGTGAGTTTTGAGCAAAATGATCGAAAAAATAAAACCTCTCCAATAGGTTAGCTGACAATGAAATATAACATTTGGGTGCCTCATAAGAATGGTTCTATCGCACAATTTTTTCTTATGTACTGCAGTAGGATCGACATTTTTTATTGCATTAATTTATAATAAATAAAGTAATTTATTCCATAAAATGAAAAAGATAGTACATATTTAAAAAAAATGTTACATTATATAAAATATGATATTTTATTTTAGGCTAAATTTAAAGAGGATTCAACAAATTCAAATCTGTGCGTTATTCGCGCAAATTAGAAGAATCATTAGTTCTGATTAGCTCTTCATGCAAATTTCTACCACGCAAACGGTATAAATTAAATTATGATTTTTTTTTATGATTATACCCCCCATTATTTTATATTGAATTGCCAGTTATTTTTAAGCAATAAATAAAAATAAAATATAGAGTTTCTATCAAAATGACCATCACTGCAATTAATTAATTACCTCCCTCCGCTTTGCAAAGGTGTTTATCGTGCTTCGTGATTTTGCAAACGAAGGCGTTCCTTAAGGGCAATAATTTACAACCTCTCCAGTAATATTACAATCTTTTAATTAATCATAATGAGAGCTGACCCGCGCAAGTTGAGGAAGACTCATTTTTGCTTTCGCGCCAATCAGTTATAGATTTTAATCATGGGTATTTGCCAATAAATGCAGATTTAAAAAAAGATAATCTTCTTAATTTTGCATAAATGCAAGTGTTAGTGAAAAGTCCTGAAAGATGTAGACGAATTGCGTTGAGGAGCAGGTGGTCAAATTTATGGGCCTAATTTGATGCATGCATCGAGTTTTGAGTGGCGAGTTTGCATTTTATTTAACAACTTTTTTTATTAGGCGCGCTAAAATTGAAGACGAAATGCATGAAAATTTTTTAATGAATTGTGTAACTTGCATGCTTTCACGATTGCTGAGGTACTTTGCGCATCTTTATGAGAATTTTAAAATTAAAAAAGAAAAATATATATATATTGAAGCAAATATCACTCTTACATCATTGCTTTGCATTTTGAATTTTTTTATCAAACTTTGTGCTCGATTAAAAAAAGAATAAGTGGGTCGCAAGGTCACCGTGTTATCGGCTCCGAAAGGGGAGAATCCGAGTTATCGGCCCTTGCGATTTAGCAGCCTGTCTGCTACCACTGGTGCCTTTCCCAAGAGGGATAAACAATTATAAAAAAAAAAAAAACAAGTTGAAAAAATAATATATTAGAAGCCTGTATTTAAAAATGCAACAATAATTCATTTGATTAAGTCAACTCGAGTTCCGTGTTGTCAATGCCAATAATTTTCTAATTTCGGAATTGCCAAACGAGACCGTGTCCAAAGTCCTACCTGCCCACTTCAAAACAAACCCAATATAAAGAGCCGTATTTTACGATTCGCCTAACTCAGCGGCGAGAGCGAGCGTTTCGTTAAATATGGAAATGAATTTTCCATCCGCTTGCTTAGCGGCGAATAAAAGTGTCGCCTCCAATTATCGATGTGTGAGTTATGAATCTCGAAACATCAAAAGTTAATAAAATCCCTCTAACAAAAAAGCAGCCGAGGAAAGTGAAAATTGTTTTTGACTGCGTGTGTGTGGCTGCTTAAAAAATATGCACGCACTACGCAGACCCCACGCAAAAGAAAGGAGGAAAGATTTTAACTTCCTCTTGCATTTAAGCTTCTTGTACTTGGCGACAGAGTAATGCCTTTGCCAAAATCGCGACCGAGTAAGTAAATCATTTGAAGAGGAGTGCCAAAAGAAAGCAGCGAATTTGTCACGCAAATCAAAAGATGCATATATAGTCGTTTTCAATGGCGAAAAATTAAATGTGAAAAGGTTTTCTTAAAGAATGTTGGGAATAAATCACTGCAAGTGAATTATGCATGTATAATGGTGGTCATAATTGATTATAATTTAATGCATTGAATCTTGACGTGCAATGAAATATACTATAAACTGCAGCGGAGTTTGAAATTTAAAATAAAGTGGAGGCATTCATTCATTGGTATTACTTTAGCATTACAACAATATTTTATCAAATTGCATAATCAGAACAGCCGTAATT